AGGGATACAGGATGAGCAGAGTCTGTACTCCATTTTAGGAGCGGCTGCACATGGCGTCTGTTCCTCATGTCAGAGGCGGCCATTTCTTTTGGAGCTAAGTCCACTGAGTAGTGCTCCCAGTCTTAATGACAAAGGCAGACGCATTCTACTTTACCCATTCATGATGGTTGTCAAGCTTTACAAGCTTGATACCTTAATATGATTGAGTGGATATAAGAAAGAAGAAGAAGAAGACAACAATAACTGAGCCAGCCAAATGATAAAAATAAAAATTCTACTGACCGAAGTGTCTCTTACTTCAAGAACAATGAATGCCAGCCAGGCAACCTCTTTCTTTAAGATTAAACTGGAATAGATACTTATATTTATAAGGTTGTCCCAAAAGTTCGTGTTTTTTCTAATTACTTGGTGAATAATATTATTACGGCATATACATTTGTGTTAATTTATACCTAACTGACCTTGTCTTTATTGTTTGCGGAAGAGCATTGCTCGATACAAATATTTGAATGTAATTCTACTGTCCTATAAGCTTATGCCCATAGTTTTCTTGAAAACCATTTCTGAGATTCCACCCTTCAATGCTGCGTATATAAGCAGAATCGTTCAATACAGTATTAGAGCTCTGAGAAGCGGTCTGGTGGATTAAATTGACGAAACCGCTGGGAGGGTTCACCACTGATGAGCCAAGCCCTCCCAATATATTTTTTCATCGCAGTAAGGACAGTAGAAGTTTGTATTATGTATAAAAGAAACATTCGTGCTTTTGAATCCTTTCATTTTATATATATAGATGGTGCGTTATTGCTTTGTGACAATTACTTTATATATAATACAAAGACATTATACAAGTATACTTGTACATAACGGCTATTAATATTGGTATTTACATTTTTTTGCAAGTGTTTACGAACTTTTGGGATAACCTTGTAATTAAATAGTTTAAAGAAAATATCTTCAAAAATAAAACAGCCATTAGATATTATTACATAACGTGTAGTTAAAATAGGTTTTGGGAAATTGGCAAGAAATCGTTTTGGCTAATCTCTTCATTTGCATACCGAGCTTTCGTTTTTTACAGATCATCTTGATGTGAGGGAAGGAAGCGCTTTTAATAAGTTTCCAATCATTTTTGAGCTCTTCTGGCTGAGGGCGAATTTATATATAAACAGTAGAGATCTAGTAAAACCTCGTTAATACGGTCTAACAAGTTAAAATTAAAAATAACTTATATATTATGTACCGGTCAATCCCAGTTAATCTTCATTTTTACATTGGTGGATTATCTACTAATGGTGTATTGTCTTGTGCCGCTTTATAAAACTTGTAATCATTATTTTTGGAAATGTGTTTCTTATATATTAACAAATAGCATCTCTACAGACCTCTTAATGCAATTATATAAATTATTATATGAGAGAAATTGACATGGACCCAGAACAGCAACTTAACACATCCAAGATAGAGAACATTGCTGTGATAGAGATGTATGGAGACATCTGAGGTTCTTCATTGGACACGAAAACAACAGAAAATTGACCCAGAACAGCAACTTAACACATCCAAGATAGAGAACATTGCTGTGATAGAGATGTATGGAGACATCTGAGGCTCTTCATTGGACACCACAACAACAGAAAATTGACATGGACCCAAAACAGCAGCTTTACACACCCAAGATAAAGGACTTTGCGACTGCTGTGATAAAGATGTATGGAGACATCTGAGGTTCTTCATTGGACACCACAACAAGAGAAGATTGACCCAGAACAGCAGCTTTACACACCCAAGATAGAGAACATTTCTGTGATAGAGATGTACGGAGACATCTGAGGTTCTTCATTGGACACCACAACAACAACATTTTATGAGAGAGCTTGACTCATCAATAGTGAACCCTCTCAGCGGTTTCATCAACTTAATCTCCAGACCTCTCTACTATTGTATTGATTTGGGTTTCCCATATAGCCTGTGCATTTACTAAGGAAAACAGCTTATGGGTGTTTATGGAACCTATCTCTATCATTGCAGTAAGGTCTGTAGTGAAAATATTTGATAAAATTGACGCGCTTGAAGCTGGATTCGAGATAAACTTTTATAATATTTTTTTTTAACTTGAAGAAAAAAAAAAAAAAAATAACGAATAAAACTGTGAAAAAGAAAAAGGCATCTCCTTATCGTGCAACTAAAAGTTGCTGATGGCTTGCACCATCTATCGGAATAAATATTAACTATTCTCGTTGATTTTTAATTATTCCAGAATTGACCAAATACCAATTCTTGATTAATCAAGAAAAGCAAACTATGTACGAGTTTCGGGCTGTTGGCCCTCATCAGCGTGGTGCAAGCTGTAATAAAACTGTGTTCGAACTTATTAAAAAGTTTCTATGATGATTCTTGCTCAAGTTTTGATAATATAGTAATCTATCTCTCTGGTATTGCTGAATATTTGGCCAACTAGAGGGCTACATCACGATTGTAGATTTGGAGAGAGTATAGGGGAATAAACGATGTATTAAGGCCATCAGGACGTATTAAGTGGACCTACAGCTCTGGGAGAGACAGACAGTATGTACCTACCTCGAGCTACTCCCAAGGGATCCTCAGCTGAACGTCGCTGGGCAGAAATGAAACGTGGTGAGGGTCCCGCGGGTGGTTCTGGACTGGGTCCAGCTTCTGACTGTGGACTCTTAGGCGGCAGGAAGCCTGCGGTCTTAGGTGGCTTGCGACGTCGTGGCTGATACTTGTAGTCAGGGTGGTCCTTCTTATGTTTGCACCTCAGCCGCTCAGCTTCTTCCATAAATGGTTTCTTCTCATCCTCGCCCAGCACCCTGCAGAACACGTGAATGTATTGATACATACCTGGCATACATATACTGTAAGTAAGATAAATCATCTTTGAGGACACCGTGAAAACATCATTGTCCGAACCCGACAATATGCAAATGAGTAGGCCATGTATGATAGATAGATATGACATCCTTCTCTACCGGATCATTGAGGAATTGACCTCAGGAAAAGAAGAAAAAGATTAAAAGGAACTCTTTACCCTAAGTTTGGCGATCGTTTATTGAGCGTTGGTGAAGATAGAGTTTTGGGTCTTTGATTATTATAACATGAAACACCGGAGATAATCATGGACCACAGGGATGCTACTACCATAGAAGAGATCCAGGATAACGACCAAGAGCAGATGAAAGGAGCTGATAGACAAGATCGAAGGTGGATCAAGGCCATGGGGACCATGTTATCGAGAAGACACCAGGAGAGATCATAGAAAGACTGCTACAGGACATCAGTGGACCATCAGGAGCTACAGGACATCAGTGGACCATCAGGAGCTACAGGACATCAGTGGACCATCAGGAGCTACAGGACATCAGTAGACCATCAGGAGCTACAGGACATCAGTAGACCATCAGGAGCTACAGGACATCAGTGGACCATCAGGAGCTACAGGACATCAGTAGACCATCAGGAGCTACAGGAAATCAGTAGACCATCAGGAGCTACAGGACATCAGTAGACCATCAGGAGCTACAGGACATCAGTAGACCATCAGGAGCTACAGGACATCAGTGGACCATCAGGAGCTACAGGACATCAGTGGACCATCAGGAGCTACAGGACATCAGTGGACCATCAGGAGCTACAGGACATCAGTGGACCATCAGGAGCTACAGGACATCAGTGGACCATCAGGAGCTACAGGACATCAGTGGACCATCAGGAGCTACAGGACATCAGTGGACCATCAGGAGCTACAGGACATCAGTAGACCATCAGGAGCTACAGGACATCAGTGGACCATCAGGAGCTGCAGGAAGGCCAAGAACGAACTGGATTGATAGCATCGAGAAACGCACGAACTGATCTCTTTGCCAAAAAGTCCTAAACAACATCTCATCCGATATAACGATGAAAACATTTAGTGAGAAACATTTCAACTGTTCTAACTATCCTTAATGGACTATAGATAGACAGCAAGGACTTAGTACAATGGGACTTTATTTGATCATTGTTGTTGTAATAATACTAAAAAAAAACAAACACTTAAGCACGAAAGTTTCTTTTGACACATAAATCAAATTTATACTATCCTTATTGTAATGGGGAAAATATTGAGATTGTGGGATAAATGTTCATTTTCTTATTCATCGCCCAAAATACCATTGTTAATATTTATCAACTATCCCGTAAGAGGACACCTCTCCCTAAAGGATACTTTGGCTCTGCAATTAGGTGTTGTCCTTTACAGGGAGGTTGTTTATTCTACTGTAAAATGAATATGTACATGGCACCATCACTGCAGAGTTTGATGGAAGATCACCAGCTGGCCTCCAGCGACACCACGTATATCGTGATCTACGAAGAAAACGTAGATATCGTGCTTATCTTGAGAGAGATACCGCAATATGTAAATTAGTCCATTATCAGACTATTTTGCATATTCTGGGAGTTGGAAAATGTTTATGAGATATCAATGAATCGGTATTCTCAATAAATACCAAATTGAAACATTAAGACGTGAATGTTTCTTTTCACACATAAATCAAACTTCTACTGTCCTTACTGCGATGAAAAAATATTGAGAGGGCTTGAGTCATCAGTGGTGAATCCTCCTAGCGGTTTCGCCAATTTAATCTACCACAGACCGCTTCTTTAGAGCTCTAATACTGTATTGGATCATTCTGTTTTTATATGCAACACTGAAAGGTGGAATCTAAGAAATGGTATTTAAACAAACTATGGACATAAGCTTTTAGGACAGTAGAATTACATATAATGTACATTTTTGCTTTGTATTATCAATATTTTACTACTAATATTAAATATAATAAACCTATTTTAAAACGACATTTGAAAATTATCCCGCATGTGTTTCTTTTCAACGAAAAATCAAAATTTATTTCAAGGAGAAATATCGATTATTTCTAACCTTAGGGATGAAGTATGAAAGGATCAATTGTAAAGAATAATGATACACGGTAAAATAAAAGTGTCCAGGGATGGGAATCGAACCCACATTGTTCCGCTTACCGGGCAGATGCCATGTCCACTAGGTTACCGTGGACATATTTTTCCGTTCGTAAATAATACATACACCGATTTTAAAACATTATTTAGGTTGTGGGTAACATTCACTATCTCTGATAAGACCCTGACCATTTGTCTAGCCATAGTGTAGTGCCGATTGTAACCTCGACCATGGCAAGGGGCCATGGGAGACGCGGCAGGGGTGCCGAGTGTTTGAACGGCGTGGAGTAAACCGAGAGGCCATAAAAGCTTGTTGTTCCAGCTGATGACCAGCACGTGGAGCTGGGGGTTCGAACCCATTCTTAGCTCGCACCACCCCCAGTGGAAGGATCCTTGCGGCTTCAAGAACATACACCGATTTGCATAGCTACTCAATTACATATATTTTTGAAAGTAGAGAGAGAGAGAGAGAAATCCATAAAAATATCTATTTTTTGATCCAATATATGCCTTTTAAATTAAACTTACATATATTAGATAGTAAAAAGGCATATATTGGATTGAATAAAAGATTTATTTGCCAATATTTCGGCTGGCTGAACGCCAACCTTTGTCAAGGCATTACATTTTTGTATACACCTTGAATAAAAGGTTTATTTTCCAATATTATATTGACAATAAGTATGGATGGCTCTATTTTCAGAACTTACATATATATGGGAGGGTCTACTACTGATTAGCCTATCTTTGTTTTTATTGCGGTAAAAAATAAGAATATTTTTTATTTATAAAACAAAAATCTCTCTAAAATGGTTTTATTTATTATACATAGACACGGCGTGCTATTGCCTTACGTTCATATATCAGTGAAAAGCTACCAGAAGGTCACTAGATCAGCTACAAGTGATGGTCACTAACAGATCAAATTGGAGATATTTGTCCATAGTGTCACCAAAAGTCAACTTGATGGACACTAACAACAATAGTATCTATAATACAATATAAAGCGGCTTATGATTGTAGAACGACATTTGACAATTTTACCGCAAATGTTTCTTTTGAACGAAAAATCGTATTTTATTTTAAAGAAAAATAACGACTATGGGAATTCCCATCCCTGGACACTTTTATTTTTCCGTTTATCATTACTTTTCCCAATTCATCATTTCATACTTCATCCCTAAGGTTAGAAATAATCGTTATTTCTCCTTAAAATAAAATACAATTTTTCATTCAAAAGAAACATTTGCGGTAAAATAGTGTCTATGTTCAATGGAAAAAAAATCGACTCTTTGTTAATAGTGATTATCATTGTTTACATGATTTGGGATGAAGGTAACATCAAATAAAAAGACAGTACCGTTTACGTGGGATATATTTTAAACAAGGATCAAATTTGGTGGAAATCACGTCAACAATTGGCAAGCAAAGTTGTCTGAATGAAAGCTCTATTGTTGATCGCGTTGATTTCATAACCAGTCAACACAATTAGCTTATGTAATTGTACGAAGAGAAGAACCATTGTTGATCACCTTGATTGGAAAACAAGACAACAATTGGCATACACAGTTGTCTGAATGGAAGATTCATTGTTGATCAAGTTGATTGTAAAATCAGCCAACAATTACCCTATACTGTTTACTAAATGGGAGATCCATTGTTGACAATGATAACCTTGATTGGAAAATAAGGCAACAATTGGCAAGCACAGTTGTCTGAATGGAAGATCCAATGTTGACAACATTGATTGTAAAATAAAGCAACAATTAGAATATACTGTTGTCTGAATTGAGGTTCATTGTTGATCAAGTTGATTGTAAAACAAGTCACCAATTGGCATACAGAGTTACCTGAATGGAAGATACATTGTTGACAACGATAATGTTAGTAGGAAAACAAGCCAACAATTGGCAAGCACAGCTGTCTGAATGGAAGATCCATTGTTGATCCCAATGATCGTAAAACAAGCCAACAATTACCATATACAGTTGTCTGAATGGAAGTTCTATTGTTGACAATGATTACGTTGATTGGAAAACAAAGCAAAAATTAGAATATACAGTTGTCTGAATTGAGGTACATTTTTGATCAAGTTGATTGTAAAACAAGTCAACAACTGCCATACAGAGTTACTTGAATGGAAGATCTATTATTGACAACGATAATGTTAATTGGAAAACAAGTCATTCAATTGGCAAGCACAGTTGTCTGAATGGAAGATCCATTGTTGACAATGATAACGTTGTTTGGAAAATTAGGCAACAATTAGAATATACTGTTGTCTGAATTGAGGTACATTGTTGACAATGATTATGTTAATTGGAAAACAAGCCAACAATTGGCAATCACAGTTGTCTGAATGGAGGATCCATTGTTATAAGAATGATCACATTGATTGTAAAACAATCTAACAATAGGCGTACACAATTGTCTAATTTGAAGATCCATTGTTGATCACGTTGATTGTAAAACAAGCCAACAATTACCATACACAGTTGTCTGAATGGAAGATCCATTGTTGACAATGATAACGTTGATCGGAAAACAAAGCAACAATTAGAATATATTGTTGTCTGAACTGAGGTTCATTGTTGATCACGCTGGTTGTAAAACAAGTCAACAATTGGCATACAGAGTTACCTGAATGGAAGATCCATTGTTGAAAATGATAAAGTTAATCGGAAAACAAGGCAACAATTGGCAAGCACAGTTGTCTAAATGGAAGATCCATTGTTGACAATGATAACGTTGATCGGAAAACAAAGCAACAATTAGAATATACTGTTGTCTGAATTGAGGTACATTGTTGATCACGCTAATTGTAAAACAAGTCAATAATTGACATACACACTTGTCTGAATGGAAGATCCATTGTAATAAGAATGATCACATTGATTGTAAAACAAGCCAACAATAGGCATACACAATTGTCTAAATGGAAGAGATCCATTGTTGATCACATTGATTGGAAAACAAGCCAACAATTGGCATACAGAGTTACCTGAATTTAAGATCCATTGTTGACAATGATAACGTTGATCGGAAAACAACGCAACAATTAGAATATATTGTTGTCTGAATTGAGGTACATTGTTGATCAAGTTGATTGGAAAACAAGCCAACAATTGGCATACAAAGTTGTGTGAATGGAAGATCCATTGTTGACAATGATAACGTTGATTGGAAAACAAAGCAACAATTAGAATATACAGTTGTCTGGATGGAAGATCCATTGTTGACAATAATGATGTTAATTGAAAAACAAAGCAACAATTGGCAAGCACAGTTGTATGAATGGAAGATCCATTGTTATAAGAATGATGACATTGATTGTAAAACAAGCTAACAATAGGCATACACAATTGTCTAAATGGAAGATCCATTGTTGATCACCTTGATTGGAAAACAAGCCAACAATTGGCATACAGAGTTACCTGAATTGAGGTACATTGTTGACAATGATAATTGGAAAACAAGCCAACAATTGGCAAGCACAATTGTCTGAATGGAAGATCCATTGTTATAAGAATGATCACATTGATTGTAAAACAAGCTAACAATAGGCGTACACAATTGTCTAAATGAAAGATCCATTTTGGATCACGTTGATTTCATAACAAGTCAACACAATTGGCTTATTTTATTGTTCGAATAGAAGAATCATTGTTGACAATGTCACGTTGATTGGAAAACAAGCCAACAATTGGCATACATAGTTGTCTGAATGGAAGGCCCATTGTTGATCACGTTGATTTGAAATAGAGCCAACAATTTGTGTACACACTTTTTTGGATGATATATCCATTGTTAAAAATGATAAAGTTTATTGGAAAACAAGCAAACAATTAGGATACACAGTTATCTAAATGGAAGATCCATTGTTGATCAAGTCAACAATTGCCATATACAGCTGTGTGAGTGGAAGATCCATTGTTGATCATGTTGTTTGAAACAACAAGCCAACAATTGCCATATACGGTTGTCTGAATGGAAGATCCATTGTTGATCATGTTGTTTGAAACAACAAGCCAACAATTGCCATATACAGTTGTCTGAATGGAAGATCCATTGTTGATCATGTTGTTTGGAACAACAAGTCAACAATTGCCATATACAGTTGTCTGAATGGAAGATCCATTGTTGATCATGTTGTTTGGAACAACAAGTCAACAATTGCCATATACAGTTGTCTGAATGGAAGATCCATTGTTGATCATGTTGTTTGGAACAACAAGTCAACAATTGCCATATACAGTTGTCTGAGTGGAAGATCCATTGTTAATCACGTTGTTTGGAACAACAAGTCAACAATTGCCATATACAGTTGTCTGAATGGAAGATCCATTGTCGATCATGTTGTTTGGAACAACAAATCAACAATTGCCATATACAGTTGTCTGAATGGAAGATCCATTGTTGATCATGTTGTTTGGAACAACAAGTCAACAATTGCCATATATAGTTGTCTGAATGGAAGATCCATTGTTGATCACGTTGTTTGGAACAACAAGTCAACAATTGCCATATACAGTTGTCTGAATGGAAGATCCATTGTTGATCATGTTGTTTGGAACAACAAGTCAACAATTGCCATATACAGTTGTCTGAATGGAAGATCCATTGTTGATCACGTTGTTTGGAACAACAAGTCAACAATTGCCATATACAGTTGTCTGAATGGAAGATCCATTGTCGATCATGTTGTTTGGAACAACAACTCAACAATTGCCATATACAGTTGTCTGAGTGGAAGATCCATTGTTAATCACGTTGTTTGGAACAACAAGTCAACAATTGCCATACACAGCTGTTTGAATGGAAGTGCTTTTAGAGAACCCCTGAACAGAATTCCTATGAGCCACACTCCAACATCGCCCCGGCCATCACGGCTCTTGCTGAAGTCCACCAGTGAGTACTCATCCCCTTGTAAGTACTAGGGTACACTATCTCTACATGTGTAGACATGTGATAAACTTACTTCATATGTCAAATTATTTGACAAACATAAGCAGTTTTAATCTTCTCAGTTATGCGGGAAGAATGTTGTTTATTTGTTAAGTGAACTCCCACGTCATTGGACGAATGTGGCCATGTTTGT